TCCCCCAGTATTTTAGAGGTCACACTCAGAGCCCCAGCACATGGTGTCATGCCCGATAACATGAACATGTTGGGTGCCAAGTGTTGCTTAAGGATGGTGACAGCATATGTTCAAAGTAACTCAATTATTTTTCCTTTGGAGAGGAAAGGAAAAAGTAGACGCTGCTAGGATGTGACTGTAGAGTGAATAAATAAGTATCATGGATGATTAGAATGGTGGTCCACAACTATTTTGCAGAGTCTATAAAGGGCATAAGAGGAAAGTTGGACCAATGACTGTGGTGTATTTCAGTTTTGAAGTGGAGTGGTGTGTGTGTGTGTGTGTGTGTGTGTGTGTGTGCACATGCATGTACACCTAGGAGGAAGAGAGGTGCCTCAGTAAGGAGGTTGCACTGAGAAAGAAAATCATAAACTAGCCACTGACAGTCAAGGAGATGACTTGACCACAATAGCTTGCAAGAATGGAGAAGGAGGGAACAGATGAGTCAGGTGAACTGGGCTGTAATTAGTCTCCACAGAGTCTGGTAATCAAACAGGCATTTACATATCAAGAGCAATGACACACATAATCCCTCAAATGATGGCCTGTATCAACCAGGAAGCCTTATTCTTTCAGGCTTTTGACTCACTTTGGAAATCCTCCCTTTTCTGTAGTCCAGGCCTCCTTTCCAATTCTCTTGAAATGTTAGAGACTTGGTACATTTCTAAGCAAAAATAAAACAAAGCAAAAACAATAAAACAATATGAATTCCAGGGAAACCATTTAAGTACGTGGAGAAGGGGAAATACAAAATTTGATTTATTTCAGCTACAGCATATGTGTGTTTGCAGGGAAGGGAGGCTCAAGGCTTGTAAGTAACTTCAACTGTGATGTTTATGCTTTATTTCCTGAACCAGGTGTTAGGTATGGCTGTGTTTGTTATGTCAGGGTATCTGAAATATTTCATAATTTACAAAAAGAAAACATTTCTGAGAAGAAAGGGAGGAAAAGAAAAATGATTTTGTCTATGTCCCTGCTTCTACCTGGTAAAAGATGGGGGTTCCTCCCAGTTATCGTAATTTTATTATAACTGAAAACTGTGTCTGTTCACAAATAAGACTGTGTCTACTATCCTCTTGGAGGTTAATTCTCTTAAGTCAATTTATTTTTTTAGCAAATGTTCAAATCACACACCTATGAAGCTGGATCGACTTCAGTGACTTCATCCATGGGTGTGACTTTGGTTGCACTGAACTGCTGATTTGGAGATGCCCTTCCTGTTTTGTTAGTATTATGACATCACATATGTTTGAATGACACACCAGGGAGAGAGGTTATAGCCCGAAGTGCTCATTCAGCTGTGATATCCATAGGCTGCTGACAGGGCACTGGGTTATCCCAGGCTTCCTCCAAGCCCCTTCCTATCTGGTGGTCCTGTACCACTTCATCTTTACCTCAGCCTCAGGATCACCATGCTTTTTATTTCCTATCCAACCATGATCATAGAAACAGAAAAGAGAAAAGCCATGTGTCATCTTGTTATAAAACATATTAATAGCTTCAAGTAGGAAATGAAATGGAAAAGGACGAATCTAATTGCTAGAGTTACACCTGCAAATTATCTGTGTATTTCATGATTCCCACTTGAGATTCTATCCAAAATAGAGAAGGATTGGCATTATGCTGATTCATGACAACCTTGATGTTTTACTGCCTGAATTAAAATCCCTGCCCTGCCTCTTCCTAGCTACATAGTCTTGAAAATGCTTTTTCTCCTGCCTCAGTCTCCTGAGTAGCTGAGACTACAGGCTTGTGTCAGCACCATGCCTGGCTGATTTTTTAATATATTTTTAGTAGAGACAGGCTTCTGCCATGTTAATTAGGCTGGTCTCAAACTCCTGACCTCAGGTGATCTGCCTGCCTCAGCATCCCAAAGTGCTGGGATTACAGGTGTGAGCCACCACACCCAGTCAAATTTTTTTTCTTTTTTTTTTTCTTTTTTTTGAGACAGAGCCTTGCTCTGTCACCAGGCTGGAGTGCAGTGGCATGATATGGGCTCACTGTAACCTCTGCCTCCTGGGTTTAAGTGATTCTCCTGCCTCAGCCTCCCGAGTAGCTGAGACTACAGGTGCGCACCACCACACCCAGCTAATTTTTCTATTTTTGTAGAGACCAGGTTTCACCATGTTGGCCAGGATGGTCTCGATTTCTTGACCTCATGATCTGCCTGCCTCAGCCTCCCAAAGTGCTGGGATTACAGGCATGAGCCATCACGCCCAGTCCAAAATGTTTTTATCATCTCAAGTGTAAATCTTGTTCCAATGAAGCAGTCACTCCCCATCTTCCTGCCCCTAGCATAGCGGTGCATTTATTTATTTTCTTTTAATTTTTAAGATGGATTCTCACTCCTGTCACACAGTCTGGAGTGGGTGACACAATCTCAGCTCACAACCTCCACCTCCCGGGTTCAAGCGATTCTCCTTCCTCAGCCTCCTGAGTAGCTGGGATTACAGGTGTGCACCACCAAGCCCTGCTTTTTTTTTTTTTTTTTTTTTTTTTTTTTTTTTTTTTTTTTTTTTTGTATTTTTAGTAGAGACTGGGTTTTGCCATGTTGGCCAAGCTGGTCCTGAACTCCTGATCTCAGGTGATCTACCCACCTTGGCCTTCCAAAGTGCTGAGATTACAGGCGTGAGCTACTGCGTCCGGCCTAGTGGTGCGCTTATTAAAATCGATGAATTTTCATGGATACATCATTGTCACTGGAGTTCATAGTTGATATTAGGGTTCACTCCTGGTGATGTGCGTCCTATGGATTTGGACAAATGTATAGATGTGTCCATCATTATAGTCTCATACAGAGCAGTTTCACTGCCTTAAAAATCCTCTGTGTTCTGCCTGTTCATCCCTGCTTCCCCCAACCCCTGGCAACCACTGATCTTTTACTGTCTTCATAGTTCAGCCTTTTTCAGAGTGCTAATCACACAGCATGCAGGCTTTTCCAATTGGCTTCTTTCACTTAGTAAATGCATTTAAAATTCCTCCCTGTCATTTCATGGCTTGAGCGCTTCCTTCCTTCCTTCCTTCCTTCCTTCCTTCCTTCCTTCCTTCCTT